GGGACGGAATCCCGGAATCTATTCATAAAAACGGAATTTACTGTGTAACGCGGAATGGCAGCGAGCAACAGTGAAAGAAACCTCAAGGTTGTAAATGTGTGAAATTGTATATGGCCCCATTCCTGTATTTTGCCTGGGGCCCCCAAATCACTAAATCTGCCCCTGAAGCAGATGACCACCACAGCTGAGCAGATTGGTCTGAAGATACCCACGATAGAGCAGAAGACCACCAGGGTGGAGATTATGGAGTGGAGGACCACTTCAGTGGAGCTGATGGCGCAGGTGACCACCAAGAAGGCTCAGGCTGAGCAGATGAGCACCAAAGTGGAGCTGACGAGGCAGGAGACCACCAAGGCGGATCAGGCGGGACTGGAACACAGAGCACAGAGAGGTTAACAAAAAAAAAACAGTCAGCACTAAATTATTTATAACAGTGAAGTTATTAATCCTTGAACTTCGGAAATTATACAATATTTTTACCCTGATTTGACCTAATTTTATACCATATATTACAGGACTGACAACAGGGGAACAGTCAGGATTATAACAGACAAAAAAGCAGGGGCGGATTTAGTGAATTGGGGTCCCCAGGCAAAATATAGGAATGTGGCCCTATACATTTGCACACATTTACTAGATCAAGCTTGAGGTTCCTTTTTTTGTTGTGATGCTTGCTGCTGCACAATGGTGCCCCATAGTTGTGTCCAGTGTTTCTACATTTTTCATGTTATAATGGCTTTCATTCATGCTGTAGACCACGGAATAGCAATTGATTTACAGTTGAGATACAGGTTTTCACAAAAACAAAATAAATTATAAAATGATAAACCTCACAATTGAGCCATTAAACCATTTTTTATGAAAATGGATGAGTCAGAAGTATAAATTATTATATTAATTTAAAACGGGGTTATGTGGGTGGATCTTCACATTGGTCTGAACAAAAACTGCAGACTGGTGGAGATATTGAAAATGAACATTCATTCTCTGCCAGCAGGAGGCGCTTTTGGAACGTCAGGTTTCCCCAGTAACGGCTGTAAACAAAGCAGCGCTCCGCTCATAAACGTTACTTTATCAGATAAAATGAAAAAGTCATCGAAACTTTTCTGAAGACAGTCGTTTCCCTTCAGAGATTCATTCATATAAAAACTTAAATTAGTGAGAATGAGAAAATTGTGAAAAAATATAGCCTATATTGACCAGGAAAGTCCACTGATGAATGTGCCTGGTTTAACTCTAAACTTTAAAATACATTGATTTTTAGTTATTTTAACTACAAATTTAAATGAAACTGAAAAAAAAAAATACATGAAAAAGAAACTATGCATTTACACACCTATAGGATTATTCAACCAAAAAAGTAGGGCTGCACGATAAATCACATGCGATATTTAACGCGCAAAACTGCACATGCGTCCTCTACTTGGGTCCTAGTAAGCGGTTAGGGGTGACCCCGAATAGTCGACGATTCGATGCTTCAATAGGAGGAGCCTGATTCGACTACCAATCTCACAGTCGAATATTCACGCTATAGATTTAAGTTTCACTTTCTATAGTCCGTGACTAACAGAGAAACATCTTGGAGGCAGGGATTTAAAACTTTAATTATTCTCTGGGGCGTTTTTGGTATTTTCGCCTAAATTTGACATACTCAAATTCAAATGTTTAAGTTTAACAGAGTTTAACTGACTCAAATTGACACAGGCAGAGTGAAAGACTGGATTTTTCGATCAGGTAGGGTAGTGATTTCAAAACATTTCAACCAGTTTATATATATCGTGTATATATTATTTATCTCGTATAATATTAGATGTATTTGGTTGAGTTGCGCTGCATTAAAGCGCTTCATTATGTAGTAGGCCTACTACGGTGATTATCTCTTAAGCGCGCAGAGCGAGCAGGACAAACAACAATGCATACAGGGCCGCTGCTGGCCAAATGGGTGCCCTAAGCAGAATATTGTGCCCCCTCCCTAAAAAAAAAACAAAAAAAACAACAACAAAAAAACACCTACTATAAGGGGTAAATAGAACATTAATCAAATATAAAAATAAATAAATAAATTGTAATTCAATTGTATTATTTATAAATTACAATTGTAGCTCTAGACAGCTACATGATTTTTATTAATACAGTTGTCTGATTGATTTTATGGTCTCAAGCATTCAGTAATCACACAAAATAAAATTAAGCAGTTTTACTACGATAAAACCATCATTAATTTTGGTAAGGGTTGTGATGTCCACATGTTTTTTTTTTTTAAAGAAATTAAAGAGGATGTAGCATTTCTATCGCAAAAAGGTGGCCAAAAGAAAAAAAATAAGTGGATTTTTGAATTAGGCCTACATGTTTTGTCAATATTAAACAAGGATTTGATCGTCCTGTAAGTGTAACAACAGCAATTATCAGGCCTTTGGTGCCCTTTGACCATTTCTAATATACTTTTGATTAATATGACTAAATATAAAATTGTAACGAAATTAAAGATCCATCTTTGATTGTCAAAAGAAT